AGAAACCGACATCTGAGATAATATGTTGAAGAGCAGCAGGGCGCCAACGATGCTCTGAGATCCAAGAGGGAACAGTAGGGTCTGCGGAGGGCCCAGCAAGCCTCAGGGTGAGGAATACAGGGCAGTGATCACTGGGGGCCCGAAGATCGCATACATCCCAGACTGTACCTGTTTGTGGATGATAGTCGCACATATCGGCTGTGTATGAGTTTGTGAAGATTCTGTCGATGCGGGCTAACGCGTTGACGGTCCGTGTGCCATTATTTTCGGTAGTGATCCTGTGGGAGGGGGGGGGGGGGGGGGGGGGGGCTGCTCTACCTCAAGCATGTCGGGGAACTGAACTTCAAAGAAGCGCGCGGGGCCGTCGATGGCCACCTGGTGGACCTCGCCACTCACATACTGAATGCCCTCGCCTGGGGCCGAGAAGCTGAAATCGCCCAGCAGACACGTCTGGGCCTGCGCAGGTGGCGGCGACGCCTGTCGGATCCTCAGTAAGAGCTGGCGCTTCTCAGCTCTGCTCAGCTTGGGATCTATGTGGATATTAACGAAGCAAGCTTCTCCAGATTCCGCCTGAGCACGAATCCCGCGGCAGCGACCAGGGGAAGGGTCGGATGTCCCGAAGTTTGGCCAGGATGACAGGGTGTATGACCAGGAGCATTCCCGCCCGAATGTGCGAGTGGGGGTCGGGCGAGCCGTAGATCCCACGACGAGGTAACTCATGTTTGATGGCCACGAGGCCCCCTTCGTGCCCATGCGTTTCCTGGGCCCCAACAGTGCCAGGATAGGCGCAGCGCGAGTGGAGACGAGAGTGTTTCCCACCAGTAGTTTCGCGATGGCCGTGATTAGACCCGAAGAGCCCTTGCGAGTTCCAAGTAGTGACCTTGAGACCAGAGGATCCAAAGGGCCCAGAGAGGGGCGAGAGACTGGTGGGGGACCCGATACAACTACTATCATCAGAGTCGGAGGAGGAGGAGGCCGAGGAAGAGGAATAACTGCTGTGCTGCTGACTGGAATTAAGATCATCCCCCCACTGAGCCACTGTGGGCCCGATCCCCAAGTCGGGAAGATCAGTGAACATCTCTACAAAGCTAGACGCTGGCAAGGCAGGCTCCTAGATGAAGCCGTCGCTGGAGGTGTCCGTCGCGACCTGGATGAGCTTATTGGCGCCGTCGGCGTTGATCCCCCCACTCTTGGAGGTTGTCGATGTTCGGCTGGATGATGTACTGGTTGTCACTCTCCCCGACCGTGTGGAAGAGCACCCAGTGATCGTCCATGCTGCTGTCGATGATGGAGAACTCGCCGCGAGCTCCATTGACCCCGAGCTTGTTGGAGTCGGGTGTCCACTTCCCTATGATCTGCAGCTTGCTCAGAACGCGGGGCCAGAGCCGAGACAGCGTGCGCGCTGTCGAAGCCGTGCTCGGAGTGACATATCAGGGCGAACGCGGAGGGGAACCATTCTTTTTGCGCGAGGGTCGAACCATCCAGGCAAATGCTGACTGGCCCAGGAGCGAAGGTTTTTTGCGTGCTGGTCGTTCTCGCCATGGATGCTGTACGACATAGATACTTTGTGGAACTTCGCGGATAGCTCCGTGCCGAGGGTCGGCTCGGTCTCCGCGATCTTCTGCTTGACCGCCTCGAAGTGATTGCGTCGATGACTCTCAAGGATAGCACGTGGAAAGCCACCAACCCAGATTCGACAAGGGTCGATCTCATCATCGCGCGCATTGGGCGGAGGGGGACCTGCTTCTGTGCGCCTCATCTTCACTCGCGAGGCTGATGAAGATGCCGTGGGTATAGTAGACGCTGGACGAGAGAGGGAGTTGAGCTGCCGTTGAAGCGACGCGACTTTCCCATCAATCATGGCCTGGACCCTGTTAAACTTCTCAGGGTCCTCCATCTGCTCGTCGGAACATTATTGTTGGGTGCGGTTCTCCTCTAAGCGCTGCTCGAGACCATGGAAGCGAGCCTCCCATGAAGTACTGATGCCCGTGATCATGGACCGCATGTCCTTGTAAGTCTTGCTCTGTGCCTCGCTCAAGACTCCAATAGATGTTTCCAATGCTGCAGGACGATTCTGGTAGGTGTCGATCACGGCGCGCATGGTGGACATCTCAGATGACATCTGCGCCGACTGGTTTAGCACGGCCGCCGTGAGCGCCTGCAGCGCGGCAGCGTCCGCCATGGCGAGAGAGACGGGTGAAATTCTTCCGGTTCTGAGGGCAACATGCTCGCGTGAACCCTTCCTCCACCCTGGGCAGGGCCACTGAACGGAGGGAACCCAATGTGGTCAACCTGGACCAACCTCGAGAAATGCATTACTTGAGCCAAAATGGCTTGAGCCAAAATGGCTACGGAAGGAGGAGGAGGAGGAGGAGGAGGAGGAGGAGGAGGAGGAGGAGGGGGAGGGGGGGAGGATCATGCGCCTGCTCCTACCTCCTCCGACCGATTCACACCTCATTCTACCTAGGTAAGAGGAGGTATGAGGAGGTAGAAAGGGGTAGGGGAAAGTAGGAGAAGGTGGGAGGAGGCAGGACGAGGTACGACGAGGAGGGAGGAGGAGAAAGGAGAAGGTAGGAAGAGGTAGGAGGAGGTAGGAGGCAGGAGGAGGTAGAAGGAGGTATGAGGACGTAAGAGGAAGTAGGAGGAGGTAGGAGAAGGCATGAGGAGGTGGGAGGAGGTAGGAACGAATAGGAGGAGGCGGAGGGGGAGGAAGGAGACAGGAAGAGGGGAGGCGGGAGGAAGTGTGAAGGTAAATGGAGTCAGGAGGAGGTGGTAGGAGGTGCCCCAAAAGTCCCCTCCCTTTGATCACTCCCCCGTCGGTGGCGGGGGGGGGTCCGGGGGAGATGCGCCTCGGTCCCAGGGGAGGGGCGCCACCCTCCGGGGGGGCCCCGGGTCCCCAAAAACACCCCAGACCAAGAGCGCCTGAAGAGGCCCCCAAGACGGTCCAAGAGGGCCCCGCATCGCCAAACGATCTGTCCAAGACGCCTTCACGGCCTCCTAAAGGCCCATGAGGCCTGCAAAGCGCCCCCAGAGGCTTCCAGGAGCACTCCCAAGAAGGCCTCCACAGGCACAGTTCATTCATGTCTCTTATGTCTTTGGCAAATTTTTGCGTTCTCGCCTCTTCCGTTTCCCGACGCTCCAAGACGGCCCCTGGCCCGGAGGCCCTCAAGATCGCCCCAAGACGGCCCAAAGTCCTCCAAGAGGTTCCCAGCATGGGCCAAGAGGACCCCAAGACGGCCAGAGACGCCTCCAGAGAAGGCCAAGAGGCACCCAAGACGGCTCCAAGAGGGTGCCCAGACGGGGGACCTGAACGGACATCTCGAGCCCCCGCCCCCGAGAAGCTCTCGGGAGGCCCCAAGAGGCCGCGAAGACGCCCCCGAGAAGCCCCTGGAGGCCCCCAAGAGCCTCACAAAACGCCCCCTAAACTGCCCACCAGAGGCCCTCGAAAGCGCTCCGAAGAAACCCCGGCAAACATCCCCTCCGCTCCCTGCTCCTGACTCTCCTCCTCCTCCTCCTCCTCCTCCTCCTCCTCCTCCTCCTCCTCCTCCGCCGCGTCTTCCTCGCCCTCCGCCTGCTCATTGCCCTTCTCGACCTCCTTCTGCCCCAACTCCCCCTCCTCATCCTCCGCATGCTTTTCCTCATCCTCCTTCACCTGCTCTACGGTGTCCTCCTCATGTTCCTCCTGCTCGTCCTCCTGTTCCTCACCCTTTCTCTCCTCCTCATCTCCCTCCTTCGCATCCTCCTCCTTATAATCATCCTCATTCTCCCCCCCCTCCTTCGTGTGCCCTTCTTCCGGCCCTCCGCAACCTTGCCTCGACCTCGGCCTCGTCCTTCCCATACTCCTCCGCTTCCTGCCCGCACTCCTCCCCCTCCTCTGCGTCCTCCTTCTTCACCTGCTCCTCTGACTTTCATTATCCTCGTCCTCCTACTGCTCCTTCCGCCTCCGCATCCACCTCTTCCCCCCCCTGCTGCTCCACCGCGTCCTCCGCCTCCTCCTCCTGCTCCTCCTCCCCCTCCGCCCTCCGCCTCCTTCTCCTCCTCTTCCTCCTCCTCCTCCTCGTCGTCGTCGCCTTCAGGATCGGCGGCACCGGCCGTAAGGACTTCACAATACGTTCTTAGAAACATATACGTGTTGATGATGTCACCAGCGAAATCGCAATTTCACGAAGGCTGGTTTAGTCGTCGTGACGCCCTTCGTGAGCGATGCCAAGACGATGTCAGAGACGTGTTTTTCTCGAAGCTATGCTTTCATATCTAGATGCTCGACACGAGCATCTTGCACTCCTGCTATCATAAGCTACACGGCACATCCACACGGCCTGGACCGCAATTAAATACAGCTCGCTGCACCGTCGGACGTTCCGATGGGACCTCTCATATGCTTATATTGCCCCATTAAAGCACCCTGATAGCAGCGAAGGGGGGAAGAGAGGAATATGTGAACTCGATTAGAAACTTCTAGCGAAGCGCTACTAGGGAATACAATGAAGGGTCCGACGTGCAGTCGCCACTGCGTATGCTTTGAAGCATCTTCATCGCTTGCGCTGTCAGTAACTACGCCACTCTGTTAACCAGTGGCAACCCCTCGCTTCGTCGCTGTGGCTTTCCACTGCGAACGACTGGAAAATCGACAGTCTCAAGAACAGCTGCTTCAGGATGTTTAGGAAGAATTCTGGAGATACATGTTTCGTATTACAGCCACGTCACCCACGCTTGAGACAGCACTTGCCGCCTCAGAGCGGGCACTTTCACTTGAAACCTGCATCGGCCCCCAAATCGGGGCCAGCCAGAAAGAAGGAGAACAAGTGAAGGCATGAGGATGCCTGCGCCGAGGGCCTAGCGGAGGCGCGGGCTACCTGGGCCGGCCAAATTTGGAATTCGACTTCGGGACCTCCGTGGCCCCCCACGGGCCGCCGGGGTCCGCATCACTGGTGCACGTGTCGACGAACACCTTCGCAATTGAAGACGGTGTGGCTATCAGAGTTGATCCAGCGCAACGGCTAAACCCTTATCGTTTCAGCCGAAAGAAACCCGTCTGTCTGTGCAGTAATTGTTCTTGGCTCGCTCGCCACTACAGCCGAGAGCGACACATCACCGGAGTTGGGCTGTCCGTCTGATCTATTGGAAAGACATCCGACCACTTCTTCCCTCCAAGCTAGAACTTCTGAGTGCACCTCCCGCATGGACGGCCGGATTGTAACCTCGCGACTGCTGCACTTCTCTATGAGAACCTTGCTCTTTCCTGCAAGCCCGTTGCCGACTAAAAAATCGAGCTCGTGGTGAAGCTGATGCCCTTGCATCGCATCTGGGTACATCGGATGAGCGCCAGGCTGTAGGCCAGTCACCGTGATGAAGATTATGCGGCCAAACGAATAGACATCTGCTAAAGTGCTGGGCCTTGAGCGGCCATGGAACACCTCTGGTGCTGCCCAACGGGGAGTTCCCCCCAACGGGTTCGCATGTTTAGTCAAAGATCTTGCAAGCCCAAAGTCTAGCAGCTTTGCTTTGACTGGCGTCCATGAGCAATCATTTACAACAAAAACGTTTGATGGCTTCAGGTCGCCGTGCACTATAAGGGGTTTCCGCGAATGCAGATGGCACAATGCTGACGATAAGCCCACTAGTACCTGCACTCGGTCTTCCTCACTCGGGGAGCCTCGCATGAAAGGAACGGTTCGACCCTCCTCTCGCTTCGCCTTGAGGAAATGCCCCAAGGTAACTCCCGTCACCCGCTCAAGGACCAGTATTATTGTACCCCTCCGCTCGTCGAGGCAAGCCCCATAAAGAGACACAATGTTTGGATGCCTGACCCTTCTCAGAATGCGCAGTTCGTTGGTCATGGCTACTAGATGGGATCGCGTCAAGAATTCTTTCGGAACCTTCATTGCCACGGATGCTCCCTGGTAGAGCCCCGCGTAAACTTTTCCGAACCCACCTTCGCCTAGCAGGTGCAGCGGCTCCATGCTCAGGTCGTCTTGCTGGATCAACCATTGTTCCTTCTCCCCTATCTGCGCAAGTCGTCGTACACACTCGTGCGTATCAGTGTCCAGCGCGAAGGCCCGTGCCGAATCAGAAGTTGACGGAACCGACTCTCCGCTCAAGGAAGGAAGCTGACGAGGTAAATCGGGGTGCACATCGGGGTGCATGTTGGACAGTGCGAACTCTGACTGGAAGCGCAGACGCTTCTCGTTGAGGAGGGTAACGTACAAGAAACGTTCGTGGTACTCGAGGCTGTGCTTCCCTACCGCTGCCAGAACAACGATGCATACTAAGAACCACAGGTGAATAAAGGCATTCTGCATCTCGGGTCCCCCAAAAACGAAAACTGGAACGGAGTAGCATAGAATGCACACGATATTCAGAAACACACCGATAAAGAATCGGATCGGCAACGCCATATTGGTAGTCGTCTGGATACCAACAATGAACAGCACCAAGTTCGTATCAGTTGATCCTTTAATAACCGCCCCTGGCATGTAGCCTAAAGCCCATGCACTGTACCATGGCGTTGAAAATATATAAACTATGAGCCCCATAGAAATAACACAAAGGGCCATGATCTCCAGCGCACACGTATGGGCTTTGACCATGAAGGGGATAGACCACACCGTAAACGTGCTCAGCGTTAAGAGACCTAGGCCCAATACTATCCCGCGTGCGCTCTCTCTCGCATGCATGTCTTGGGGACTCTCGTAGCGCTCGATAGAATTGTCCCAGGGCCGATCAATGATTAGGCACGCTATGGCCAAAATGGTACCGCACGCCGCGCACTTTCGCATGTTGGAGATGAGCTTCGGCCCGCGGTGCTTGGCGAAACCATCCTCCAGCCCACTGTCGGAGAATCGCAGCGTCAGCCTGCTCAAGCGGCTGCTGCCGAAAGGGCACTCCGCCGCAATCTTGGGCGCCTCCGGCCGCTTCTCGGCCGACCGGGCTCTCCAGCCGTCAGCCATGAGGTGAGTGACTCGGGGTTAGAGTGACCTTTGGTGCGCGGCTGCTCGGGGGCCGCGGGGTGAACAAACACAAGCGCGCAAGATGCCTCTGCCGCCTCGCGTTCGGCGATCGGGGGGACCCCGGTGCGCCCGCAACAAAGGTCACTTCGGCGAAAGGTCCCTATCACGTGTATCCGATGAGGGCCGGCCCGGGCTGCGGCAAAACATGAGCCAGAATGGCTGAGGAAACTATGCCATCGTATCTTTTTACTGAGGATGTCCATCGCGAAATCGTAATTTTCGGGAGTCCTGAGGCGCTCTTGGAACCATCTTGGAGTCCTCGTTAGGCCGTTGCTTCTTCGTCTTCGAACACTTCGAAAACGATACCCAGACGATGTCGATGACATATCAGTGTTGTGAGGATATCCTGAGCGAATGGACATTAGGAACGACGTCGAAACATACAGCAATGCTGGTCTGCCGTGCTTGTTCTCATTTTCTGAGGATGTCTCGAGCGAGAGCGTTGCTGTAGCATGAGTGGCAGTCAAGCAGCTGTGCCGACATCATGTTTCTCGAGGGTGTTTCAGGCAAAACACCCAGTTTCAGAGATATCCAGATTTTGCGACTTCCATGTTTTCTGGGGATGTCTCGAGCGAAACGCTTGTTATGTACATGGCGATGTTGCGGGCATCTCATGTCCGTAAATATGTAAAAAGCGAAATGGTGAGAAAGATTGATCCGCCAACCTGGTTCCCCATGCAACCAAGAAGGGTATGTAGGTTCATACTTCTAGAATAGGTTACATATTCAAACAACAAGTCCAGCTCACTTTTTGTTCCTCGAAGACGCTTCCTGTCATCCGCCTAATGAACGACGGTTTGCGATCCCGAGCCAATTGTCCCGACACTTCTGGTTTCTTTTTAAAAAATTGCAGGAGTAAATGTATTCCCTACTCCGCTTCCTCGAACAAGCTCCTATTACCTTCTTGTTCCGAGAAGGCGCTTCCAGTCATCCGCCAAGCGAAATACTTTTTTTTGGGGGCAAGTTTCTGCCGAATGTCCCTCGCGCCCTACAGCCGACAGGATGATCAAGACAATCATTCGTAAAGAAGCCTGAGCCAGCATCCCGAAGTTTCTTAAAACAACCCTGGACCAACTTCTGGTATTCACGCTGGAGGGGCGAACGGGCTCAATGAACTGGGCTCAATTTCTGGCAAGTCGGGATAATAACCGCCATCCCAGCTTTCCGAGGAGCGGTTTCTTGATCAGATGATGCCCCACCGCACTTTTTCATTTAATCCTTGCTCAGCTTGGCCTGGCAAAGTCCCATCACCTCCTTGTTCCGAGAAAGCGCTTCCCGTCATCCGCCGAACCCCTGGGGATCTACGGCGCGCGAGGCCGCCGCCCCTTCCCGAACCGCTCGCACGGGACCTCTGACGGGCCGGCTTGGAGGAGGGGGGAAGGCGGGGATGGGGGGGGGGGGGGCAGGAACGCAAGCCGTGCCAGCGGCCCCGGCCGCCCCAGCCCTGCTCCCGGACGGGCTCCGACGGTTTCGACATGGCCTTCTCAGAGTCCGAGCTGCCTCGCAGTGTTCTCCACGGGGCCCCAGATGGCCCCAAGAAGCATCTTTGCCCAACTTAAGCCCAACAGGGCTCAAATCATCAGGTAGTGCCGGTCGTAATGTTGGGGCCCATGGCAGCGGATCCAAGGACGTGGCGGAAAGTAAAGGTTAGAATGTCCGTTAAGCAAAGTGGAAGGGACATGCGTTGCATAAGCAACGCGCGCGCGGCGCACGCGCGCGACCTTTCCCAATCCGAAATAGCTATGGCCAACAATCAGTACAAGCAAGGTTCGATATGTACATGAACGGCGGCAGGGGGCGCACGGCAACGACTCCCCCCGCGGCGGCCCGGCCGCAGCGGCCGGCCGGGGCCGACGGAGCACCATCGGAGCCCCACGTTCCCGACGGCGCCGAATTCAGACGGGCGCGGGCGCGAGGCTCTCACAGCCGCCAGCAGCCCCGCCAGCCACGCGTGGTACACCATGCGGCCATGGGCCGAGAATGTAAGTGCCTGCGCCGGCATAGCCACCAGAGCGCCATGGGCGCATGGACGTCTGGAGCTTACCAGTGCCATCCGCCGTCGCGGCGCCATTGGTCGCGGTCGTCGTAACGGCGATCCGCCCAGCTGTCGTAACCGCCCTTGCCACGGTTACCCTTTGCCCGGTCCTTTGCTTCCGGCGCGGCTGGAGGTGTCCCTCCACGCACTCCAGGCGCGGTCATTGGGGGTCGGCTTTGCCTCCGTTCGCGCCATGGGCGTTGGGCGGACTCAGGGACCTGCTGGGAAAATGACGACGCGGCGTCACTTTGCTCTGACTGGCGGATGTCTGTATAGCGGCACGGACGTACCGAGGGAGGGGAAGCTGTGCGACTGCCCCCCTTCTCTCGGGGTCGCTTGCCCTTCCCCGTCCCCGCGCCTTCTGGGGGCGGCGGGGCAGCGCCGCTCGACGCGCTGCCCTTGCCGTCGGCCGCGCGTGTGATCGCAGCCGCCCTGAACGCAGCCGCTCTGCCCCCTGGTGTAGACGAGGGGCTGGGCGGGCGCGTGCGGTTGATGGAACGGGCAGCCCTGGCAGTGGTTGCCGGGGGCTGGCGACGCCGTGCTCCTCGTGCCATGGGCACGCGTGAGGTGCGACGCTCCTCGTCTGACTCGGGTGGCGCCGCCCCATGCTGTTGCCACATGTTCAACGCGTATACCGCAGCCTCGTACACGTGCAGCGGCCGCAACTCGACTGCTGCGTGCTGGAATGTGTCCAGCGTGGCCCGCTGACCGCGTCTGAACGCCGAAGCGTGCGACTGTAACAAATACTGCACACACGCCTCGATCAGGTGCGCGTCAGAGGAGACATGTGGCAGAGCTGATCGGTTTCTATATATGCCCCTGTGCACCAGCTCCAGCAGCTCGCGGTGCGCCTTCAGGATGTTGAGCTCGCGCGCCAGCGTCGTGCGAAACTGGCCCACTTCCGTGAGATGAACGCGCATGGCGCGTTTATCTGTGTTGTCCGCGTCAATCTGCGTCCAATCGAAGTCCTTAGTCAACTCGATTACAATCCGGTAGGCCTGTTATGATATCCACTTTGTCTTGACATTGAAGAGGTCTGGGTCGTAGACGGAGAACTCGGGCGGCTCGTACCGCATATTGCGGACCTGTGCCTCGCAAGAGGCAAGAGTGTCCGCCCGGTGATATTCCAGAGGCTCGTCGAGTGTTGTGAAGTATGTGACGAGCTCGTGGGCCGCCCTAGTACTGCGGTGCTGGTTGATGGGTAGCCTGAGGTCAGCTTGGTGAATGTCCTGGCCCTGGCGAGGCGCGCAAGAGCTGTTTCGTCTGCGCATGGCGCGACCTCCGAATGCTCTTGGTGCGTCCTCTGAACGAACTCGTCGTCGACTATTCGATCTGCCAGATCTGCCATGGGCATGAGGTGGCGGCCGCGCCGAAGCGGGGCGGCGTGCACGCACGTCCCGAATATGATCTGCTGCATCTTCTTCCTCCTCGATGCCAGTCCATTCCTCCTTCGGCGACCAGTGGCATTCTATTTCCTCCTGGATTTCTGGCCAAAGCTGATGGAATCCCAGCGGCAGGCTTTCGCAGTGAACGTGACACCATCGAGGCCAACCAGCGAATGGCTCAGCGCCATCGCGAGCCTCAGGGTCGGTGGTGCCCCAGTCAAAGATGCCCAGAACACCCATTTCCGTACTGAAATCAGAATGATCCACTCGTCTCGACAGGTACGCCCACCACTTCCATGTCGGGCAGGTCGCCCTGGTGCCAGTCGGTTTCCAGCCAAGATATTCTTTGTATGACATCCACCGACGGGCCAGTTTGTGTCCCTTGACCTCAAGCGCCTTGTTGCCATGGGCAGGGCGCTGGTCATTAGGTGATGCTGGTACCCAAGCGAACACTGATCTTTCAGCCGAGAGTGTGGCTGTCTTTCCCGCCATGGCAGCGTGATAGCGTGCTAGCGCGCTCTCGGAGGTGTAAGTTTTCCAAGTGTCCCGCCATTTTGCTTGGGTACGATCCGAATTCTGTACCATGGCTGCCCGTGTCCGCGGCCTGCCACTTCCGCGCTCATGGAGCGGGTTCGCAGGCCTCCGATATTTCATCATTCCGGCAGTCATCCAGTCTATCGCAGGCCGAAGTCTGTTGGGATGGTACGGTAGCGCCTCGTAGATGATGTCTTCCCAGCATACTGAACAACCCATCATGCCGTATATGGACTTGTGACCCATGTGGCAAACGAGGCATGCATCATCATCCCAGCCAGGCGGCTGCCTGATTTCCGCCCACAGCGCTGCGTCCATCCGGTCCTCTGAGTAGCCGGCCCGGATGTACTTGTTGGGCTCCAGTATATCGACGCAGCAAGTCCTGTGCCTGGGCACGACCTGAACAATGGTCAGACGTCGGTCGTAAGCGACGTGCCACGACATCTTGTTGCCAGGCGACTCGGAGATGGCGAAAATCTGCCAGATGTTGTTCCAGTGTGGGATATTGTCCGTAAAGATTTGTCCTGTCGGCAATATCCGATGTGGGTGCGCCTCCATGCGCCTCGAGCCCATGGTGGCGAAGTGTTTGCCGTCGAAGTTTGACAAGTGGAAGTCGAACGCCGATCTGTTAGTATTCCCAACAAAGTCTTTTGAGACGCCGCCCCGGTGAAGGAATGTCGGGGAATTGGTTGCTTTTCCTAAACGGACCCGATCGGCATCTCGACAAACCAGTGCTCGTGCTTCCTGAAAGCTTAGTGGCTCGAATACGTGGTCCGGCGCCAGCGCATGGCGATCATTGATCTTGGATGCATGCGGAGAAAGCGCAACGGTGTAAGCCACAGCGTTGCATTGTCTGATGCCTGTAGCTTCGTCGTGCGAGGGAGCCACCCGCCCATCCTGACTGTGACGGACGTCAGCGGCATCTACTGGTATAAGCAGGGCTCCGTGTTTCTCGCACAAGCTGGGATTATACCGTACATTCCGAAGGTATGGACTGATGACCCTTAGCGAATCGCCGTGCACAGCCCCGATGAAAAGCAGTCGTGTCGATGGAATCACGAATATTTTCTCTGCTTCACTCTCCGCCAGGGATGAGCCCGTGTCTCCACAGACCTCGGATGCTCCAACGCCTTTGCGGAAAACTTCGGAGAATACTACATCCCAGTCCATGGGGCGGGATGTGGGGCCTTCATCTGCTGTGTCCATTTCCACCCCCAGCATCTGGACATCCTGTGGGTCAAGCACGGCAGCGGCGCGCATGAACCTGGCCCACGGGCGGTCGAATCCGACGTCCGTTAGCACCTTGATCAGCACATCCACCTCGCCCCATCCGCCCCGGCTCAGCACATGGGCCGAGCTGTGGCGAAGGAGGTGAATGATCAGCCCGGCAAGGCGGAGGGCCCCACCGCGCCCCACTTCGCTCGCGGTTGCATAAAGCTTCGGGCGCAAGTGAGGATACATTGGCGCCAGAGCATGGTCTGGCCCGGGCAGGTTGCGGCTCTCGATCGTGTTGTATCGGGCTCGCAGGTATCTATCCACTCTGGACCGCTCGCCCTCGGGCAAACGCCGGATGTGGTCTAGGAGCGGATCGGCCGAGAAATCTGCGTAGGTGGAGAGCCTGTCGCTGATAAGTGGTCGGCCCAGCCGTTGGCTGGGAAGTGCAGGCATCGTGCTGGAGTTAATGCCGTGAGGTTTTCTCGCTTGTATTCTGGCGTTGCCAGCAAAAGAACGCGCCCGTTGTGGTCGAGGAGGCCTTCATAGGTCAGCGCTTCTTTTTCGAGCCCAAAACGCAGAAGATCATCGAGGCGATTTCGCGGCATCCACAGCTTCCCAAGCTCTTCTTCCGATATCTGCTTGCCTTTGGGAAGCGGCAGCGCGTCGTCTATTGAGATGTAGTCATTGCCAAAAAGAAACCCATCATCAGAAATATATGGGCGGGTCTCGGGATCAATTTGGATGGCCGCGACGACAGCAAGGCTGGTCGCTTTCACGGACTCCTCCCCTTCTACAGACATGTTGTCAGCATGCTCTTCTTCGTGTACATCCGCCGGTTGTCCTTTTTCCGTCGTCCTGGTCGGATGTGGACTCGTCGGGGCCCCCTTCGAGGCCGACCTCTTGGATCTGTTGTTTGCACCACCTTTCATACTCTTTCTTTTCGTATTCAACGGCTTCGGGTGGTGCTCCTGCGCCATGGGCGTCTGCACGCCGGCTGTGCATGCGATGCCTTGGCGGGCATCGATCCATATGTACGGCTGTCCGCGGCATCGCTTGACAATGGCTGCATCGACGGACAAGATAAATCTTCGAGTCTTGATAAACAGCCATCTTCGTCGTCCTGAAGCAGCTAATCGTCGGGGATATGTAGATCTGATCAATGCAGGATGCGGCGGGCGATGCAGTCACGCGTACCTTGCGCAAGGGCACGAGCCTAGCCTCTGGCAGAGGCGGAGGCTGAAAATCTGGTGCTCCCGGGCGGTGATCTTTGCGCTGGCTGAGAGGCGTCACTCCAGGGAACTCAAAGCGCGGTGACTTGCGGTCTGCTGTAAACGGGCGCTTGAAGCCAGCATGCCCAATGTTACCCCAGCCAGAGCGCCGTCCTCCTGATCGGGATTCGCACCATTCCTTTGCCGCATTATGGATCATTGCCTCACGGCCCCCACGGCGCACAACGCTTTTGGACCTTGGCGGCCCATGGGGCTCGATGCTGCCTGGGGCATGGTCCGTGCCAGGCCGATCAGTTCCTCCATTCGTTTCCTCGTCTTTCTTCTTCTTGCGGAAGGTCATCCAGTCATGGGCTGAGATCCTAGGCATGGAAACCATGTCCATTGCCCTCAGATCTGGGCGTTCTCGTTGCAGTCCGGCTTGTTCGAGTGGTGTAGCGACATCCTGTAAGCCATGGGCTATGAGGATGGGCGCGTCGAACTGCTCGGTGATAAGCTGTTCAGAATACAGCTTACGATGCGCCCAGTTCCCCAGATCCAGAAACTGTTGATGTCTCCTCCTTATCTCCTTGAACTCAGCGACGATATCCTTCTGTTTCGTCGAATAGAAGCGGCTCCGCACCTGTCTCTTCGCATTTGCCTTGTCGAAGTCTGTGCGGGGCTGCTCCTCCAGGAGCTGATCGGTTATCTCGTTCTCAATCCGCCACAGCGCAACTTCCTCCTCCAGAGCAGGAGCGGGGTCAACGAGCGCCTTGAAGTCCGCCTCGTAGTGGCGAGAATGTTGCGGATGGAACACCCAGGTCTGTAGTCGGTTAGCCTGACTGGGGGTCATGCAATACAGTCGTAGCGACAGCTTAACTATGAGTTCTGGCACGCCGCAAACGTACTGCTTCCTCCCCTTTGGCTCCGTGTCGATAGGGCAGAAGCCACCTTCTGCCGCCGGCGGGGTTGCGAGCTTGAAAACCATGGTCACGATGTTGCCGTCGCTCCAAAATTCTGCACCACGGTTGTAGCTTTGGTGTAACACATGGATCATGTCGCCATCGTGGAAAACATATACTCCTTCGGCAGGAGATTTATCCTTCGCTCTTTGGTCCGTTTCGACCCTCATGCCCCATCTTTTCCTGGGCGGGATCAATACGCCAGCGTTCAGGAGCGCGTGGAGCTCCCGGAAGTCGGTAGCGTGCGAGAAGGCTTCCATGGACACAGTCAGGCAGCAAGAATGGAATCTCGAGCATGGCACAAGATTCGTATTCCGCAACTCTCGTCTTACCCCAATCGAGTAAAGCAGAACATGACAAGTCCGGACTTGATGTGGTGTGCAAACGCCTCGTGACCAAGAATTCAATGGCCATCCTCTGGCAATATTCTGCCGTGAAACGTGGAGAGCGTGCCAGACGCATCCTGGCCAACGCCCACTCACGGGCGGCGACGCGTCCTTTCAACCCATCGTACCAGCCATCGGCGTCATAGAACTGCCCAACGAAATGAAATTCTTGAATAAAACGCTCCCTCTTGCGGGGAAACAACATCAACTCGTAGTCAACGACCTGTTGGGGTCCGAGAATCGTCTCGCCTTGAGGCAGCGTCTCGGATCCGGCCATTAGCCCCATGATCACAGCTGTTTGATGTTCTTCGCATGCGTTGAAAAAGTGTGGAAAGGCTATGCGACCATTGCCAAAGTTGCAGACAATCTGCTCCTCGCGGCCATTGATTGTCCAGTGGTGAAGCACACTCTGGATGATCGCTCCCTTCACGGTCGGTGCCGCTGGTTTGCGCGACTTCGCCGTGAACAGCATGGCCGCCCCTCTTCCGACTGCCTCTATCACCTTCTTCATACCGTCGTCGATGGGCAGGGCCTCCATGGGAGATCCCGCTTCGAGCTCCATTCCGTAGATGTTCCCCACGTCGTCAAACGGTGCTGTGGTATAACGTCGGTCTGCTCATGCCTGCCTGTCGTCATGGTGTTCCCCCAACCATGATGAGAATTCCTTAGAATTGATATTGACGGATTCAGGCGGAACATACTGCGGCGCACCATATATCACCGAATGGCAGCAATTCCCACACCTGGCAGCACACATGGTGGCCGCTGGCGGGTACGACATGACTCATCATCGGGCCCTCCATGCCTGGGGGCAGGGGCACCGGAGTCGACGCCATTGGCGGGGGTGCCGTAGGGGCGCTCCGCCACGTCGAACACGGGGCAGCACAGCTCGTAGCACACCTTCGCCGCGTTGATAATGTACTTGACGAAGTCTACGGCGTACGCGTAGTTATCTCCTACCGGGAGGAAGTGCCAGTTGTCGCCCTCCGGGTGCTCCCCTCGGTGATACAGCTCTGAGCCGCGAAGTAAGAGCATCCTGGGGTTCAGGCCAGCTTCCTGGTAGAGGTTGATCCCGTTCTGTCCCCGTGCAAACGCGCGGGGCGCAAGCGTGTCCCAAATGCTGCGGTCAGAGCCACCTTTGATATGATTCCAGCTTTGACAATCGCCAAGGGCGAGCATCAAGAGCATTTCGCCTGTCGTGTTGGAAATATGCCTGCTCGTCTACGGCGTCGCCTATCATGGATAGAGCGTCTCTCTCGACCTCGTCGTAGTCGGAGGGCGCGTCTTCTCGTCTTGCCCCCTTGACTCGCTTCTGGGCGCCGTCGCAGTGGACGCGCAGCTCGTTGCCGTTCCAGATCATTACCCGACATCGGGCGTTGCTGCGTCCGTGTGGAGCGCCACAGCTCATGGAACGTAGGTTGGCTCGAGTATCGTCCAGAGTCCCACCGTTCTTGATATGCACGCGCGCCCCTGCCGAACGATTTTCAAGTTGCTGCGTTAAGGCGGCGTTGAGTGCTGGACTTCATTTGGCGTTGAGGAACGCTGTCGTGGAGTCGGAAGAGACGATGTACTCTACATCGTTGAACGCCCTGTCACCCTCGTTCAAGTCAGCCCCGAATGTCCGGACCCACGTTCGGGTCGTAATAGGCCTGAACCACGTTGCATGTGGAACGTCGTAGGCTGCATGGAGGTAGATCGCCTCCCCCGGGATACGGGAAGGGATCCCAGCAGCCGGCCGCCTCCGGCTTGATGACGTAGGCGAGGGCCATGCCAATTGACTCCGCTGCGGTACTGTAAGCTGGCCTCGGTCCTTTGTCTGGCAAGACATTCAGGACCAGACGCGGATCGGGTCTGCTCTCCTTCTTGTGCCGCTCGTAGCAGTACTCCAGGGCGTTCCAGTAGCCGTGTACTCCCATCTTGTCGGCAAGAGCAGATATGTTCCGCTTCTTTGCCGTCTTGGAGTCGTCTGCTTCCGAGCGGCCAGCCATGGGCTGTTGGGCCGGTTCGGTTGACCGGGTACCGTGGGCATGGCCCTGGGTACCTACGCTCCCCGCGTCATGCACATCGCCCTGTGCAGTGCCACGTGCCTCGTGAGGGGGCGGGTCAACGCCCATCCTACCAAGAGGCGGAGGATCTCCGACGACATGGTCGTCCGGAGTCCTCGTTCCTTCCTCCTGAATCGGATCCAACCTGTCCTCTTCATTATGCGGCGAATTGGGCTCCATTTTTACGTCGGGCAGGTCCTGGGCCCGCTCAGCGTGCTGCAAAGGTTCCTCGCGAAGCGCCTCGGAAGTAGATCCTCCGAGGTCGGGCGGCATAGAATCGCCCGGGTGAGGCGACGTCGGGGCTGGCCGCTGTTGCTCTGCAGCGGCAGCGGCACTGGTATCAGCTTGCCGCTGTCGCTCTGCAGCGGCAGCCTCACTGGCTTTAGCTAGTTCCTGGAGCCGACGGAGACGTGACTCCAGTCCCGCTGATGCTCCGGTCGCGTAACTGCTGGTCACCTGCTGGTCCATGCCATCCGAGCCATGGGCTGGTTCGAGGGCCGGAATCTCCGCCTGCGGGGGGCGGTTGGCCGCCTCGCGCTCGTCGCGCGCTCTGCGCAGGCGCTCTTCCAATCCCGCCTTGTTCTCGCTTGCGTAGTCGCCAAGTGCCTGCTGCTCCCGGCCATCCGCGTGGGCTGCGGCAGGGCCAGGGTGAGGCGCAGCAGGCGCTCTCTTCTGCCTCGGCTGCGTCGTAGGCGGGTGCTTGCTCTGGTCCCCTGCTGACGAGTAACTGCTCGGAGGCGGCGACGGCGGCGTGCGACCATCCACTGGCCGCGGCTTCCATCCCGGAGGCGGGGGTTTCCCCGTCGGCAAGTTCGAGGGCGGCTCCTTCCGCGGCGGCGCCTGCGAGGGCGGATCCGCCGGGGCCTGCGCCGACCGCGGAGGCGCTCCGGGCGGAGCCATCACCTGAGGAGGCGGCTTGCGGGGCAGTGCCCGGGGCCTGAGGCTCTGGAGCACGACCCTCGCCATGGGCGTGGGATGGCGGGGGTGCGCCCGGAGCCTGGGGCTTCGGTGTTGGCCCCTCGCCGTGAGCGGTATAAGGTGGAGGCGCGCCAGGAGCCTGATGCTTTGGCGCCGGCCCCTCGCCATGGGCGGTGTAGGGCGGGGGCGCGCTGGGAGCCTGGGGCTTCGCCGAGCGGCCTTCATTGGCGCGTGGCGCGGCGGGGGCGCGCCGGGGGCCTGTGGCTTCGGCGGACCGCTCGCGCCAAAGTCAGAGTGCGGCGGAGGCGCCCCAGGAGCCCGCGGCTTCGATGGGCGGCCTTCGCCATGGGCGGTATAAGGCGGAGAAGCCCCAGGAGCCTGGGGCTTCGGTGGCGCCTTCTGTGGCGGGGCGCCGCCGGGGCGTGCCTTCGGCGGCGGCGAGGGGGGCCCTCTCGCCGTCTGTCCTCTCGACGACGGTCTTGAGCCTTCCGCCCTCGTGCGATTCCAACGGCCTAAGGGGTGGCCGCCCCCGGTCGGCGCATGGTGCGCTGCCGAGGGAGCTGCCTTCTGCTCGACGTTAGCACGCCCCGCCCTCTCCTCGCGCCTCAGCTGCCGACGAAGGTCGACGCGCGGCGAGGGCGCAATGTAGAGGGGACTCGGGTCGAACTTACGGTCGGGGGGGCCCTGGAGACGGCGCTGCTCGGGGTCAGGAGACACATGGTCAGAGCGCTTCAGCCGCTCGTAGTGATAAAGGCTGTCCGCGTACTCGACCTGGTAGTCCTGTTTGCGCGACGCCCTGCGGCCCTCCAATGTGACGAGCGGCCGTGGGTCGCCGCCCCATGCGGGGCGCTGGCGCGGGGGCCGAACGTTGCGGTAGGTCGGAAATTCGTTCGCGCGAGCCTCCAGGTCCTCGAACGCTGCCCCCTCGAAAGAGGTCACTGCCGCGACGTCGTGTAGTAGCGTCCTCCTGCCCAACGCACTGTCCGCGAGGGGCTCGTTCTCCCTCGTCGGATAGCGAATGCGTGCAGCAGGCCCTGGCTGAACATGGTCAGGATCGCCTGCAGCGCCGGTCCAATCGACCTGGTCGGGCAGCGTGGCGTGGATGGAGTAAAACCTGTCGGCAATGTGCCTCCGAGATCCTCTAAGCCTGTACTGGCCCACTTGATCCCAGACTGGGTGCAAGAACCACTGAAAGAGCTCCCGAGGCGTTCTCGTCTCCAGCATCTCGTAGAGCTTGTCGGTTGGTTCCTGGAACCACGCCTGGGGCAGGGCCTTGTTTTGTTCTTGAGTGAGGAATGGCCGGGTGATGCGGCGCCCCATGGGGGCTTTCGCACCCCACCAGGGCGTAGCGACAACAGCGCTCAAGTCCTCGACTCCGCGACGTCCGCCCAGTTCGCGGGGGGCCTCCCAGACTGACACCTTGCCGCGAATGATAGGAAAGTGTTTGCCCTTTATGAAAGGCCCCACTTCCCCAACCCAGGGAACGTTGCCGGCGCTGGAAGAATCCCAGATGGCGTTGTACATGTCCGGCGGGAGGTTCACCGTGGGATGATAGGTCGGCTTTTTGAAAATCTTCGCGAGCAGTCCGGCTTCATCGAGCCCATTGTTAAGCATCCCTGCCAGCTTGTCCGAGTGCAGGTGACGATGCACTTCGCGGAACTCGCTGGCTGGAGCCCCAGTACATGGTGCAGATTGGGGGTTTTGCTCCATCGTTGCGTGTGTGGAGTGAATACACCCCCAAACTGGGTGGGCGACATGGTTCCCCCCGTGATTGTTGTTCTCACCAGCTCCTCGGGTCGAATTGAAGTAGCGCATCTCCACTTCATGCCTTTGGCCATTCGGGGGCGCATGCTGGTTCAGACGACTCGCATCGTACTCAGTTGCGCACCCTGAGCGGTAACGACGCTCAAGATTGGTATACCCCAGGATGTTCTTGGCGAGATGCAGGAGATCCTTTGCTTCTTTGATGAGGTTCGTGAGCTTTGCTTCATCGACCATCTCCGCAGACCGCGTGGTCCTCGCGATCGGCTCGTGCCCGAAAGCGTTCGGGCAGTCCTGGCCGTGCTGGAACATCTTGCCCCGGAGCCCGCGCAGGCCGCCGTGCGCGATGCAGGACATGGTCCTTTCCGAGTCTCTTATGAAGAGACACTGGTCGGAGCTGGGGCACGCGATACCCTTCTTCACGTGACTTGCGGACCTGCGGGGCCCGACCGAGGGATGCGGGCGCAACAGAGGCGCTGGTGCGGAAGCTGCGAGGCGCCGGCGAGCAGCGGCGGCGCGAGCAGGGCGTCATGGCTGGCGAGGCAGCCGCGTCGGGAGGCTGCGCGGGGGCACCGGTACGAGCCGAAACGGCAGCGGTAGCAAATGTATGCGCGCACGCGACGGCAGGAGCGGCATGCAACGGGGCACAGTACATGGCACTAACACATGCCCCGCCCACGGATGCCTTCAACACTAACGAATGCACGCGTCTCGCAAATTCGTCCGTGTAATCTTCCGCCTGCTTGCAATCCTTCCCTCTAGCCTCGGCATGCTTGTGACTGCCATCACACCTACGTACTAATCCATCAGCAATTTCGTTCGAGGATGAAGCTATACTCCATGGCTTCTTCATGTATTGTCCCTCGTTGTTTTTTTCAGGCCATCTGCGCAACCATGGAACTGTATCTTAGTCATCTTATACTTGTTCGAAAATTCCTTCACGTGTGGATCGTGCCAGTATCGGCGCGGGGTCTGCCACTCGAGGCATATCAGGCCATTTCTCTTGTCAACTTCCTGGGCCAAATCGCGAGCTACCCATAACAGCTTCCTAGAAAGGGTGACGTGACCCCTCAATTTCCTGAGAGCTTTCTCGTTGCCGGAGCGGTAGTATGGCCTCATTTACGTATTGCCATGGAGATCCGCCCGTACATGGTATTGACATCCGCAATGTTTTTCGCTTGTCCGTGGCTTGGCCTTGCCTTAAGACTCCTCTGTTCTAGTCACGGCAAACGTTTTGCCTTCTTTGGTGGTCATGTCCTCGTTTTCCGTCAAACGCACCACCGTGCAGTGTTGATCGGGGGCTGAACGTAACAAAAAATCTGACTTCCAGAATGCATGTAGAAGGCGTGGCGATGACTTCTAGGACCCATCTAAAACGCGGGTTGGCTGGTGGCTGGGGGGTGGGGGTGGCGTGGGGAGCACAGGGGGCGAGGCTCAGCCACGTGCTCATTTTGGTCATACAGCCCTTTAGGCTGGACCAAAATACGTGGCAGCCGAGGTCCATGGGCGTGAGGATGGCTGGCTAAAATGGGGTTAAGGGAGCGGGGGAAGCATTTTGTGTGGGTCTTGAAGTGCGCTAAGACATCTTGAGATACTACCCCAACTATCGGCTATGGGGGGGGCTAACCCGCAGCCCGCGGATCTATCCCGCAGCCCGCGGATCTGGCTGGGCGAACATGGGGGACGGAGGGATATAGATAGATAGTAAGGAACCCGCGAGACCCCAGCCTATCTATCCATCCCGCGGGGCTAACCCGCAGCCCGCGGATCTATCCCGCAGCCCGCGGATCCGGCTGGGCGGGCATGGGGAAGGGGGGGAAGGGATATAGATAGATAATAAGGAACCCGCGGGACCCCAGCCTATCTATCTATCCCGCGGGGTTAACCCGCAGCCCGCGAGGATAACCCGCAACCCGCGGATCTATCCCGCAGCCCGCGAATCCGGCTGGGCGGGCCTGGGGCGGGGGGGGGGAGGGATATAGATCGATAGTAAGGAACCCGCGGGGCCCCAGCCTATCTATCTATCCTTCCCGCAGGGCTAACCCGCAGCCCGCGGATCTATCCCGCAGCCCGCGGATCCGGCTGGGCGGGCCTGGAGGGGGGAGGGGAGGGATACAGATAGATAGCTAGCAAACCACCCTGATAGCAGCGAGGGGGGGAAAAGAGGAACCTGTGAACTACAGTAGAAACTTCTACCGAAACGCTACTAGTAAACAGAATGAAGGGTCCGACGTGTTGTCGCCACTGCGTATGCTTTGAAACATCTTCGCCGTTTGAGACGTCAGTAACTACGCCACTCTGCAACCAGTGGCAGCCCCTCGCTCCGTCGCTGTGGCTCTCCACTGCGGGAGGCCTGGGAAATCGTCAGTTTCCTGAACAGCTGCTTCAGGATGCTTCGGCAGGACTCTGGAGATACATGTTTGGTACAATAGATAAAAGGTAGCACCGAATCCATGCACGAGCTAGGTTTGTCCGAAGCCTGTAGCACACAGGATGCGAGATCCGAAATGCGGGTCCCTGCTGCTCCAGACCGCAGTCGACACATGCAAGGGCGCGGGCGAGCAAGGGGGATCCAACCTAGGACGCCCCATTCTGGCGACCTCGTCGGCGAACCCCCTAGCGGTTGGATGCCTCATGGGCTGCCTTGTCTGATGCCCCGTTGGCTGCCTTGTCGGCTGCCTTCTTGTTTACCTGGTGAAGCGACTCGATGGTTGCCTGCTTGGTGCCTCGTCGGCTGCCTGCCTTGCCGGCTGCCCTGTCGGCTGCTTCGTCGATTGTCGGGTTGGCCGCCTTGTTGGCTGCCTCGGTTGGCTGCCGCGTTGGCTGCCTCATTGGCTGCCTCGTCGGCTGCCTCGTCGGCTGCCTCGTGGAGTGCCTCGTTGGCTGCCTCGTCTGCCGCCTCGTCGGCAGCCTCGTTGGGTGACTTGTTAGCTGCGTCGTAGACCGACTCGTCCTCGCTGGCTGGGGGGTGAGGGTTGGGGCCTCTGGGGGTGCACGCGGCCAGTGGTTCAACGCGAGGTCGACTCCAAGCGCGCCACGGTATACAGTGTGGGAGTTAGACCTGAGACCCCCCTGACCCCCATCCTCAATGTTGATTGGCACGACCAACGGGTAGTGACCTGGTCTCGTCCCGCCGCCGCGCTGAGCATCTCAAGGATTGGACACCGCGGAGCCTGCCTGCAGAGACCCCTTCAAACCCCCTCTTCAATGTTGCTACGGCGCGCCGCCGTGTGGGTTTGCTCAACGCCAATACTAAAGATGGGTGTCCGGGGGGGGTACCCTCAATCAAAGGTCGATGGGTAGGCTCTCCTTCTGCCTGCCCTACTGTGCCGGCCAATCTATCTGGAAGAGGGGGGGGGACAGGGGGGGGGCCGAGGGTTGGGGAGGAGTGCCCAGGAGTGCGATCGAGTGGGGAGGAGTCCCGAGGAATAGGTAGGAGCGCGGGAGAGTGCGATGGAGGATGGGTCAGGAGGAGCCCCGAGGAGCGGGGAGTAGTGCCGACAAGTATGATGGAGTAGGGGGGAGTTCCGAGCAATGGGGAAGATCGCCGAGGGCTGCAATAGAGTACAGTAGAGGGGACTCCGGAGGAGTGCGATGGAGTGGTGAGGAATGGGCAGTGGGAAGCATCCCGAGGAGTGGAGAGAAGTCTGGAGGAATGCCCGGGAATGAGATGGAGGGAAGAGTCCAGAAGAGAGGGGAGGAATGCCGAGGAGTGCGATGGAGTCGGGAGGAGTCCGGAGGAGCACCGAGGATAGCGATGGAGTGGGGCGGAGTCCAGAGGAATGGGGAGGAGTGCCGAGGTCTGGGGAGGAACGGTTGGAGTTCAGAGGAGTGCGATGGAGAAGGGAAGAGCCCCGAGGAGTGGGGAGAAGTACCGAAGAATGAGACGTAGGGAGGTGTGTGGAGGAGTGGGGAGGAGTGCGATGGAATGCGGAGGAGTGGGGAGGAGCGCGGAGGAGTACGATGGAACGAGGAGGAGTCTGGAGAATGGGACGGAATGCCGAGGAGTGACATAGAGGGAGGAGTCTGGAGGAATTGGGAGGAGTGCCGAGGCGTGGGGGGGAATGGGGTAGAGTGCTGAGTGCGATGGAGTGGGGAAGAGTCCAGAGGATAGGGGATGAGCGCCGACGAGTGAGACAGAAGGAGGAGTCCGGAGGAATGGGGAGAATTGCCGAGGAGTGCGACGGAGTTCGGAGGAATGGAGTGGAGTGCTGAGGAGTGCGATTGAGTAGGGAGGAAAAGGCAATTCGGCGGAGGGGTGGGAGAAGTAGGAATACTCACTCGCAAGCCCTGCGCGCCGTAGCGGCCAGGCTCAAACTGTCCCAAGTGGTCCCTGAGACCCCTGCCCCGCCAGTCCTGCATGACGCGGCCGCCAGGGCGGAAATGTCTCGAGTGACGTTGCTCCACGTTCCTCTTTCAAAATCTAGGTGTGAACATCGTCGATCGTAGTCGTCGTCGCCGCCACCACCGTCGTCTTCGTCGTTGTCGCCGTCACCGTCGTCGTCGTCGGCCGTCGTTCGTCTGTGATTGCCGTCGAGATCGTCACCGTCGCCGCCGCCGCCGCCGTCGTCGGTCGTCGTTCGTCGGTCGTCGTCGTCGTCGTCGTCGTCGTCGTCGTCGTCTTCGTCGTCGTCGTCGTCGTCGTCGCCACCGCCACCGCCACCGCCGCCGTCGTGGTCGTCGTCCTCGCCGCCGTCGTGTCATCGTCGTCGTTGTTCCGATCGCCCGGAGCTCTCCACCAGCTTCCAAGCATCGCTGGGCATGTCAATGCCCTGGCAAACACAAACCTCCAAGAGAGCACGCGGCTGGAACGCGCGACCGTCTGCTGTCGTCCGTCTGCTGTCTGGCAAGGTCTGCACACAAACGCGCGCGCCCGGACGCACAGGCAATCTTGACGATTGGCAACGATGGTAACGGTGATGGCGACGATCGATTGGTAATGTGGTTCGGTTGTAGTTTCCACGTGCGGTATTACAGCCACGTCACCCACGCTTGTAGTATGCGGCAGGCCAACGCCAACTCAAAGACAGCTAGCTTTCTCGTTTGACAGTTACACAATATGAATACTACTCTCCTCTCTCCCCTGATGACGTCTGGAAGATATCCAGCCCCCTCCGCGTACGGATTTTTCACACACAAGATTCCCGGGGAAAGGATTTTCGCTTGGGCTTTTGTTCAAAATGCTGCTCCCGCTGAAGCGCTGGCCTCATTATCGGGCTTCCGCTCGTTCCGAATCGTGCTCCCGCTGCAGCGCTGGCCTTATTTCCGCGCTTCCGTTCGTTCCGAATCGTGCTCCCGCTGCAGCGCTGAACTCATTTCCGCGCTTCCGATCGTTCCGAATCGTGCTCCCGCTGCAGCGCTGGCGTCATTATTTCCAGTGCCATGCTACGGCCTGGTTTTCGGTCCTTCCGAATAAGCCCCCAAATCTAGAAATTGGAAAAACATCGGAAGTGATTACACATTGGGTGTCAGTTCGTTGGTTTTTGGGGCCGCAAAAGCCCCTCCCCACTTTGGGGCGTCGCCACGCCATGCTATGTCATGCTACGCGCTGAGATTCAACAGCGTGCTATGCCATGTTATGCTATGTCCTGCTACGACATCCGATTGTGCAAAGAGAAAGGAGATCTATGTTATGGAAAGGGATGGGGGAGAGGGGTAGGACGCCATATATGACGCGAGCGCACCTAGCTTGCTCCCCCCCCTCCCTTCCCCTCTTTAAGGCTGCCCATGTTCTGCCGGCGCGATGTTCGAGAGGAGAGACAGCACTTGCCGCCTAAGAGCGGGCGTTTGCACTTGAAACCTGCATCGGCCCCCAAACGGGGGCCAGCCAGAAAAGAAGAGGAGAACAAGCAAAGGTATGAGGACACCTGCGCCGAGGGCCTAGCGGAGGCGCGGGCTACTTGGGCCAGCCAAGTGTGGGATTCGACTTCGGGACCTCCGTGGCCCCCCACGGGCCGCTGGGGTCCGCATCACTGGTGCACGTGTCGACGAAAACCTTCGCAATTGCAGACGGTGTGGCTATCAGAGTCGATCCAGCGCAACGGCTAAACCCTTATCGTTTCAGCCGAAAGAAACCCATCTGTCTGTGCAGTAATTGTTCTTGGCTCGCTCGCCACTACAGCCGAGAGCGACACATCACCAGAGTTGGGCTGTCCGTCTGATCTATTGGAAAGACATCCGACCACTTCTTCCCTCCAAGCTAGCACTTCTGAGTGTACCTCCCGCATGGACGGCCGGATTGTAACCTCGCGACTGCTGCACTTCTCTATGAGAGCCTTGCTCTTTCCTGCAAGCCCGTTGCCGACTAGAAATTCGAGCTCGTGGTGAAGCTGATGCCGTTGCATCGCATCCGGGTCCATCGGATGAGCGCCAGGCTGTAGGCCAGTCACCGTGATGAAGATTATGCGGCCAAACGAATAGACATCTGCTAAAGTGCTGGGCCTTGAGCGGCCATGGAACACCTCTGGTGCTGCCCAACGGGGAGTTCCCCCCAACGGGTTCGCATGTTTAGTCAAAGATCTTGCAAGCCCAAAGTCTAGCAGCTTTGCTTTGACGGGCGTCCATGAGCAATCATTTACAACAAACACGTTTGATGGCTTCAGGTCGCCGTGCACTATAAGGGGTTTCCGCGAATGCAGATGGCACAATGCTGACGATAAGCCCACTAATATCTGCACTCGGTCTTCCTCACTCGGGGAGCCTCGCATGAAAGGAACGGTTCCACCCTCCTCTCGCCTCGCCTTGAGGAACTGCCCCAAGGTGACTCCCGTCACCCGCTCAAGAACCAGTAGAATTGTACCCCTGAGCTCGTCGAGGCAAGCCCCATAAAGAGACACAATATTTGGATGCCTGACCCTTCTCAGAATGCGCAGTTCGTTGGTTATGGCTAACAGATGGGATCGCGTCAAGAACTCTTTCGGAACCTTCATTGCCACGGATGCTCCCTGGTAGAGCCCCGCGCAAACTTTTCCGAACCCCCCTTCGCCCAGCAAGTGAAGCGGCTCCATGCTCAGGTCGTCTTGATGGATCAACCATTGCTCCTTCTCCCCTATCTGCGCAAGTCGTCGTACACACTCGTGCGTATCAGTGTCCAGCGCGAAGGCGCGTGCCGAATCAGAAGTTGACGGAACCGACTCTCCGCTCAAGGAAGGAAGCTGACGAGGTAGATCCGGGTGCATATCCGGATGTATGTTGGACAGTGCGAACTCTGACTGGAAGCGCAGGCGCTTCTCGTTGAGGAGGGCAACGTACATGAAACGTTCGTGGTACTCGAGGCTGTGCTTCCCTACCGCTGCCAGAACAACGATGCATACTAAGAACCACAGGTGAATAAGGGCATTCTGCATCTCGGGTCCCCCAAAAACAAAAACTGGAACGGTGTAGCATAGAATGCACACGATATTCAGAAACATACCGATAAAGAATCGGATCGGCAACGCCATGTTGGTAGTCGTCTGGATACCAACAATGAACAGCACCAAGTGTGTATCCGTTGATCCTTTAATAACCGCCGCTGGCATGTAGCCTAAAGCCCATGCGCTGTACCACGGCGTTGAAAATATATAAACAATGAGCCCCATAGAAATAACACAGAGGGCCATAATCTCCAGCGCATACGTATGAGCTTTAGTCATGAAGGGGATAGACCACACCGTAAACGTGCTCAGCGTTAAGAGACCTAGGCCCAGAGCTATCCCGCGTGCGCTCTCTCTCGCATGCATGTCTTGGGGACTCTCGTAGCGCTCGATAGTATTGTCCCAAGGCCGATCAATGATTAGGCACGCTATGGCCAAAATGGTACCGCACGCCGCGCACTTTCGCATGTTGGAGATGAGCTTCGGCCCGCGGTGCTTGGCGAAGCCATCCTCCAACCCACTGTCGGAGAATCGCAGCGTCAGCCTGCTCAAGCGGCTGCTGCCGCAAAGGCACTCCGCCGCACTCTGGGGCGTCTCCGGCTGCTTCTCGGCCGATCGGGCTCTCTGGCGGCCGTCAGCCATGAGGTCGGCTACATACAAGAGTGACTCTGGGTAAAAGCGACATTTGGTGCGCGGCTTTTCGGGGGCCTCGGCGTGAACAAACACAAGCGCGCAAGCCGCATCTGCCGCCTCGCGTTCGGCGATCGGGGGGCCCCAGTGCGCCCGCACCAAACGTCGCTCAAGCGAAAGGTCACTCTCACGTGTAGCCGATGAGGGCCAGCCGCGGCCGGGGCAGCGGCAAAACTTGAGCCAAAGTGGCCACGGAAACTGTGCCATCGCATCTTTCCTTTCGTGAAGATGTCCATCGCAAAATCGTCATTTTCAGGAGTCCTGAGGGCGCTCTTGGAGCCATTCTGGGGTCCTGGTTGGACCCTTGTTTCTTCTTCTTCTTTGAACAAGTCAAAACAGATGCCAAGACGGTGTCGCAAACATATCAGTGTTGTGAGGATGCCCCGAACGAAATGGACACTTGTAAAGATGACGTCGAAACGTGCAGCGATGCTGGTCTGCCGTGCTGTCTCTCATTGTCTGAGGATGTCTGGAGCGAGAGCGCTGTTTTTTTACATGAGTGACAATCAAGCAGCTGTGCCGACATCAAATTTTCTTGAGGATGTCTCAGGCACAACGCCCAGTTTCGGAGATATCCGGATGTTGCGCCGTCTGGCTGTTGGAAAATGTCTCGAACGAAACGCTTCTTGTGTACATGACGATAATGCGGGGATCTTCTGTCCCTAAGCATGTCACGTGCGAACTGCTTAAACAGATGGATCCGCCAACCTGGTTCCCCGCGCAATCAAGAACAATATGTATGTTCATACTTTTGAAATATGTTACGCAATCAACCAGCAAGTCCGGCTCGCTTCTTGTTCCTCGAAGACGTTTCCCGTCATCCGTCTAACGAACGTCACCTTGTTTTCCCGAGCCTATTGTCCCGACACTTCTGAGTTCTTTAATAGATCTGCGTAACAGAATGATTAGATTCTCTACTCAACTTCCCCGAACAAGCTCCCATCACGTTCTGGTTCCGAGACGGCGCTTCCAATCATCCGCCAAGCGACGTGCCTGTTGCAAGTTTCGGACGAGTGTCCCCCGCGCCATACAGCCGACAAGATGATTTGGACAACCATCGTTAAGAAACCCGAGCCAGCATCCCGAAAATTTTTAAACAACCCTGGGCCAACTTCTGGTGTTCACGCTGGAGGGGCGAGCTTGCTCGAGAAACTGGGCCAGACTTCTGGCAACAAAAAACGCCAGCCCAGCTTTTCGAGGGGATGTTTCTTGATCAGATGATGCTCCACTGCGCTGGTTCATTGAATCATTGCTGAGCTTGTCCTGGCAAAATCCTATCACCCTCTTGTTCCGAGAAAACGTTTTTTTACCTAACAGCGAAGACTGATAGGTTTCTAGTGGTGTCAAAAGAGAGCATCTGATGACTCAGAAGGGAGGTCTGGGCGGCATCCGGACAGCGAGGGCCGGGCTCAGGGCCGGGCTCGTTTTAAGCAAACAGTCGCACACTTCGTTCTCTTCGACCTCCCAAAACTCCATTCCCGGGCCACATTTTGCATGCCCGGAGCCAACTGTAAGCCACTTCGTGCTGTTCGAGTTCCCGGAACTCCATACCCGGGCCACATTTTGGATGCCCGGAACCAACTGTAAGCCACTTCGTGCTCTTCGACTTCCCAGAATTCAATTTCCGGGCCACATTTTGGATGCCCGGAACCAACTGTAGGCCACTTCGTGCCCTTGGACTTCCCAGAACACCATTCCCAGGCCACATTTTGAATGCCCGGAGCCAACTGTAGGCCACTTCGTGCTCTTCGACTTCCCAGAACTCTATACCAGGGCCACATTTTGGATGCCCGGAGCCAACTGTAAGCAACTTCGTGTTCTTCGTGTTCTCAGAACACCATTCCCGGGCCACATTTTGAATGCCCGGAGCCAACCGTAGGCCACTTCGTGTTCTTCGTGTTTCCAGAACACCACTCCCGGGCCACATCTTGAATGCCCAGAGCCAACTGTAGGCCACTTTGTGTTCATCGTGTTCCCAGAACACCATTCCTGCATCATATGTTGATTCCCCGGAGCGAACTGTGGGCCACTTCGTGATCTTCGTGTTCCCAGAACACAAGTCCTGTGCCATATTTTGAATGCCCGAGCTGAAGCAGGCTGCGGCCGAGGCAGGCTGAGGCCGAGACAGGCTGAGGCTGAGGCTGAGGCAAGCCAAGGCAGGCTGAGGCAGGCTGAGGCTGAGGCAGGCTGAGGCTGAGGCTGAGGCAGGCTGAGGCCGAGGCAGGCTGAGGCTGAGGCTGAGGCAGGCTGAGTCTGAGGCAGGCTGAGACTGAGGCTGTGGCTGAGGCTGAGGCAAGCTGCGGCTGAGGGAGGCTGAGGCTGAGGCAGGCTGAGGCTGAGGCAAGCTGAGGCTGAGGCTGACGCAGGCGGAGGCAGGCTGAGGGTGAGGCTGAGGCCGAGCCAGGCTGAGGCTGAGGCTGAGGCAAGCCGAGGCAGGCTGAGGCTGAGGCTGAGGCTGATGCTGAGGCAGGCTGAGGCTGAGACAGGCTGAGGCTGAGGCTGAGGCTGAGGCTGAGGCAGGCTGAGGCCGAGGCAGGCTCAGGCCGAGACAGGCTGAGGCTGAGACTGAGGCTGAGGCTGAGGATGAGGCCGAGGCAGGCCGAAGCTGAGACAAGGTGAGGCTGAATGGGGGGGGGAAGGGGGGGGGGGGGGAGGGGAGAGGCAGGCTGAGGCCGAGCCAGGCTGAGGCCGAGGCAGGCTGAGGCTGAGGCTGAGGCAAGCCGAGGCAGGCTGAGGCAGAGGCTGAGGCTGAGGCTGAGGCTGAGGCAGGCTGAGGCTGAGGCAGGCTGAGGCTGAGGCTGACGCAGGCTGAAGCCGAGACAGGCTGAGGCTGAGGCTGAGGCAGGCTGAGGCTGAGGCCGAGGCAGGCTGAGGCTGAGGCTGAGGCAAGCCGAGACAGGCTGAGGCTGAGGCGGAAACTGAGGCAGGCTGAGGCATCCGTAGGAATCCATCGGAATCCTTAGGAATCCATAGGAATCCTTAGTAATCCGTAGGCATCCTTAGGAATCCGTCGGCATAGTTAAGCATCCTCAGGAATCCTTAGGAATCCTGGGGGAATCCTCAGGATTCCTAAGGATGCCTTTGGAATCCCTAGGAATCCTCAGGATTCCATTGGATCCTAAGGCCGTTGCCACTGCGACTGTCATTGCGAATGCGACTGCGACTCCGAGAACAGCAGAATTCTACAATTGGATTCTCACCTGAATCTTAAGGGGAATGCTTCCAGATATGCTTATACACATCGCTGTTCGGTTGCTTTGCTGGGATAATCTTTTGAAAACGCAACCTCAACGCGGAAGTCTCGCGAGCATTCACGGAGCCAACCGCAAGGTCGGCCCGCGCGCGCGCGCGTCCGCGGACGCAACGTACGAAGCTTGCCACCCACTGATGGGAAGCCCGCACATCAGCACGCGACCCTCTGGCCACGGGCTGGCGGCGAGCAGTGATTGTCAAACGGCGCAACGTATCATGCGCAGGAGAAGCGTGGTGCTGCGTAGCGGGAGCCGCCCTTACCAGCAATGCAAAGTCGGCAACGCTCCAGGCCATGCAAGGGCAGGGCTGCGGGCCGAGCCAAGCTCAACGTCACCAACGCCGCGGGCCAAGAAGGAAGGAGGGCGGACGAGGAGGCACAAGCGTTGGAAAAACACAAAAGTAAGCCAGGCGCCTGCAGCAGGATTTACTGAAGAAGTGAGCACTGGTGCGCGCAACCTGGTGGACTCACCTGAAGTAACCCCGGCATCCCAATCTACTACTTCACTTCCGTGAGCTCGCGGCGTGGCGCGAGGAACATGGTCGTCGTCGACCACGAGGCCCGCGAGCTCCTGCCACTTCAACGCCCCACGGGGTTGTGGGATGGATATGATCAGCACGCGGTGGCGGTCAGTCGCTCCGACTCAGCAGCGCGATGCCTGGAACGAATTCTTCTGATGGGCCTTCTCGCTGGCAGCGGGCGCCGCCTTCGAGGCCATCAGCGGACGCCGCCTTCGAGGCCATCAGGACCTGCCGCTGGTCGCTCTCGATCACGTCCTCCTCCAGGGCGGCTCCGTGCTCTCGAAGTGCCAGCTCTAGGTGGTGCAGAACCGCTCGGAACAGGGCGTCGGGGCGTTTGCCCTGTGGGTGCCCCTTGTGCACCTCGTCCGCCTCTGCGGCCGCCGCCGCGGCGGCCTTGCCCTCGGAGTTGTAGGGCCCCACCGCGCGGTCCATGCTCAGCTTCATCTTGGCCTTGCTCTCGAGCCCAGGGGCCTGCGGCAAGATGCTCTCGGCCACGTTCTCCTCCGCGGCGGCGTTATAGGCGCCAAGCGCCAACTGTAGGTGATCCATGGAGGCGATGTCGTGGTGCGCGCGGTCCTGGAAGCGCAGGGCGTCGCTGATGGCGGTGGTCACTGGGCCGCCGCTGCCTGGGGCCTCCGCCTCTGCCGTGGGCCAGCGCTGCTAAGTGTCGGCGTCGGCGTCTTGGGGGGTCGCTCAGTGGAGTGCCGGCCCACATGTGCAGAAGCCCCGACGATCATATGGCCCCGAAAGGGGCCCAGGGCCCGCGGGGTCTCACGGATGACCCTTGCGGAATCCTGGGGGCCCGTGCTGCGCGGGGTAGCGATGTGGCCGATCCTTGACTCACCCTTGCCATCGGGGAACCTCCATGTAGTGCTGCGTCCTGCTGCTGGTCCAAAGGCGTTGAGAGCTCGCATACAACACTGGGAAAGGGTGCCATGCAAGCGCCGCCCCTTGTCGGTCCACTGTGGTCGGTACTTGCTCCGCGAGCTGGCATGTCCCAATTCATGTAGTGACGGTGCACATAGAGAGGCAATGCAACCCAAGGCTCGATTCACATTGTCGAAGAACTCATCCTTGTCGCGTCGGCATACTGCGTGGGCAGCCGCTGTGATAGGTCGTGCTTGGGGCTTGTCGGCGGGGGCGTACCCATAGAGGGCGTAGAAGTCGATGTGTGGCTTGCG